CTGCCTGCCTGCCTGCCTGCCTGCCTGCCTGCCTTGCCTTGCCTTACTCACTCGCGCACTCATTACTTTACCTGATAACCACCATAAGCGTTTTCCGGTACTGATGCATGGTAAACACTCTTGCTAAACACTGGTTTATTATCGTTGGTGTCGGTAATCGATATCTCTACCGTTGTCGTACTGTTCAAGGATGGGCTTCCTTTATCTTTGGCCTAAGAAAAAAAACATGACGCATGAACAGCAGTTCCACTGAAAAACGTTGAAAAGCTCTGATAAAACATGTGCGCAATGGATGAGTAATATTCTCATGCTGCTTCGATAAATGTGTTCGAATAACAATAACAAATTCTCATATACACGTTATCGTTAGTGTTAGTATCATATTACGCTCTTCGTTATCATCAATGAAAAACTTTGTGGGCTGCGTGAAGCAGMGATAAAACGAATATCTTAGTTAATTTTGAATTGAACTACTAGAAAATATTTTACACTTACCTGAATAATAAGTGTGAAGACGTCCTGTTGTTCGCGGTCGAGTTTAGCTGACGTGTTGATGTAACCACTGAACGGCTCGATGATGAAAGGCAGTGTGACTAATGATCAAACAATAAGTGATTCAGTAGACTCTTTCACTTTGGTTAATTCYAGTTAGCTTGCACCTAAATATATGGCAATTTATCTCTTTGTCCTAACTTATCTTATGTGATATTTATGGTGCTAAATAAAAGATTGTCATTGTCATTGTCATTGGGCATAATGTTTTCCCATTTCATATCGCGTCATTCCCTTGAACATTATTTCTTTGTGTAACTATTGCGCACGAGAAGACACATGAATATGGATATGATTCAAACAAAGAAGACTTCTCAACAGAATGACGATTGGTTTGAAATAGAACACACCATATTCAAGGGAAAAAACAACTATTAGGCCCCGTCCACACGTACCCGAAAATTTTTGTATCCGCAAAAATTTTTTTGCGGATACGAAAATGTTTGCGTCCACACACAGCGTATTCGAATCGTTTTCACCGACCACACGTGTCCRTTTTCGTAGAATTTACAGATAAGGTCACAAACATTTGAGGACACGTGTGGACGCAACCCGTATCCGTAAAAAATCTACCATTTATCGTTAAACGCATTGAACCCAAAGCCTGAACGTAAAAGTCAAAGACGCTTAAACAAAAGAGACGAGACATCAAAAGTGTATACCTTCATCTTTCCCTGTTGATTCACATCCATAGAGCTCAACTCTCATACATATCCGTCCAATCCATGACTGAGGATGAATGCGCACATASCGCGCATGAAACGCGGGTAAAACAAAATTTACTTGGATCGTTTCAGCATCGGAATTACCATTAAACACCTAAAAAGGAAAGACAGAAATATTATATAGTTAAAAATCAAATACTTCGGGATTAAGATGCCAAGATCATATCTATTAAATGAGATTTTCTAAAAAATGATATTACCGTTCTCTGTTGGGTATATTGAGTCCCGTCCTGACTATAGGATATGACGTAGCTTCCTACGTAATCACTCGACCCAGGCCTCCCTTGAGTAGCAATTTTGGTCACTTTGCGCATGCCTCTTAAATCTATCTGTAGATACTGCTGTTCATTATTACTGGAGGCGCACCACGCTCCCTTGTACGTAATCCCCGCTTGATTGAATGGTTTGTTGTTCAGTCGGCCCTGAGTTGGCGAGTAGTCTTCATTAGGGACTGTATAGGATGACGTAGCTGTGATGTCACTGGCTCTGATGTCACCGTTGGTCAACCCAAGGGGCGTGGCACATTCTTTGTTGATTGATATTATTTTTAGGCCAGGTCCTTTTGAAAAGAGATGAGAAATATATATATCGTGCTGTATTGTACATATATCGTGCTATATTKGTCATATATCGTGCTATGTTGGTCATATATCGTGCTATATTGGTCATATATCGTGCTATATTGGTCAYATATCGTGYTATATTGGTCATATATCGTACTATTATTAGTCATGTATTGTGCTATGTTGGTTATACATCTTAATATAGTGGTCATATATCATGCTATATTGGTCATATTTTGGTGGAGCACTACAAAACTTTRGTCATTGATCATGTTTTTTTTCCATCAATATTTGGTCATTTATCATATAAAAYCTTACCAATATTTGCGTGTGTGATGGCATACTCAAACTCTCTGTTGTCACCTTCATCGTTATCAAGTGCTTTCATACGCCCTACATTAGTGCCCAGGGGAGAATCCTCACGCGCGGTCATCTTGTAAGGAGCGGGGAACTGGAACTCTGGCGCGTTGTCGTTGCTATCTGTAACATGTATAACTACCTATGAAAGATAGTATTGTCGTGTTTTATGTTCCGAATAAATAAGGGTAAGTGCGCACTCAACTGGCCACCATACACAGACAGACAGAAAGACAAATGCATAGATGCAGACAGACAGACAGACAGACAGACATATATAGACACACGACACACAGACAGACGGAAGGATGGACGCACAGACACACTAAAAGGCAGACAAGCAGGTGGACAGACGGACAGACGGACAAACAAGCAAACAGACAGAGAGATAAACGATGGACGGACCTATATACGTATCTACAATTTAGTGGTGTAATACTCACTGAGGTATAGCCAGAAAGAGGAGTTTGGCCATTATCTGTGGCTCGTGCTGTTATTATGTAGTAATCACGTGTTTCTCGGTCGAGTGAAGATGTCGTTGAAATCACTCCCTGTAATCAAACACGAGTCAACACCTTTCAATCTACAGTAATACACTTTGTTAGTAGACCTCCTTACCTTGATTCCCCTATTCAGACCACGTATCATTTCCTAAAGTATAGTTTTTTGTTTAACGATTGTTGCGCATGAGAAGACACATGAATATGGTTACAACTCAAACAAAGAATCTTATTCTCAAGAAAATGATACGTGGTCTGAAATGAGACAGTATTACACCCAAAAAAGGGTCCATAAAAGAAATAATACTCAAGAGAATGACACGTGGTCAGAAATGGGACAACCTTACGCGCAAGCTAAAATGCTCTATCATGGTGCGTCGTGTTTATGAATACTTACTGTATTCTTGTCAATAGTGAAAGCATTCTGTGAAGACACGATACTATAGGTCAGCGTCGTTCCTGGTCGTTGTTTTGTTATGCGCAGTCGAACCACTTCAGTCCCTGTGGGTTGATTCTCACGTATGTTCACCAAGTACGAGGAACTGAAACAACAAAGTAAATCGATATTTATTAAAACGCAATTAAAAAGCATTTTTCCCAATCTGTTGAAATCTTTCGTGAACAAATTATTCTCATTTAGCGCGAGGTCCTGCGTACTGTAACTGTGCAGCAACGTCATTGGCCATGTTACATGTGTTCGTTTTTTATCTTGGGTTAAGGCCACGTGTCATCATTTTGAGAATACGCCGGTTGTTTAATTTGTATCCATATTCATGTATCTTGTGCAACCGTTTAAGAAAGAAATTAAACTCTAGGGAACGACACGTGGTCTGAAATAGGAAAACATAACAGCCAAGCTAAAAGGGTTTGATCTATCGTAATATTTCTTTTATATTTTAATTAGATATCAACATATATTCACCTGTTAAACACGGGGCTATCATCTCCCAAGTCAATGATATTGATGACAACCGTCACATTGGACGAGCGAGGACTGGTGCCGTGGTCACGGGCTTGTATCTTAAAGATGAATGAGCCATTGACGTTGATTACACCTGTCTGGGCCAACTGTAGACGGTTGATGGCTTTGACTACACTGTTGGTGAAAATGGTGAGTGTACCAATTAGAAATCTAATACTATTAGTCCCTTTTCAACAAACATGGTTGTCATAYTTTTGTCACTTTATTCTCTTGGGAGTGATTGAAAACCAGCTATTCTTGGTTGCAACCAAATGACTAAGAAACCCTTGAGATATGAATAACAATGAAACAGTCGCCATGTTGGTTGATGTAACAAGGRAAGCTAATGAGGAATGCTTCGTTATCATCAACCAACACGGCGGCTATGACGTAACATGCAACCCAAGAATAGCAAATATTTTGTAAAATTTTATTCATTCTAAAAATAGCAATGTTACTCACGTGATCAAGCCTGTGTTGGGCTCAACAGCAAACAGATCGTCTTTGCTTGTAACAATAGAATACGTCACTCGTCCGTTCTCACCGACATCGCGGTCCTCGGCTTTCACTGATAGTACTATAGTCCCTACTGATGTCTTATCCATAATATCAGTCTGATATTGATTGGTAGGGAACTGGGGCGAGTTGTCGTTCTCGTCACCAATCTCCACGTTCACAGACACACTCGATTCCATTCCTCCACCATCACGCGCGGTCACCATAAAGGAGTAAATCTGTGTTGTTTCGCGGTCTAGTTTTTGTGTAGTCGATACCGAGCCTGTTTGTGTATTTATCCTGAATCCTTGGTGATTCATTCTATATGTTAGTAAAGCGTTCGTACCGAAGTCAGAATCAAAGGCCGTAACATTGACAATGACAGTCCCCACAGGGGTATCCTCGGGAACGTTGACGCTGAACACAGGCTTGGCGAACATTGGTTTATTGTCGTTAATGTCCTGTAGCTTGACTATAACCGTGCCGTATCCCTCGTTAGGATAATAACTTCCATCTATGGCGGATATATTTAGAGTATACTCTTCTTTACTCTCTCGATCTAGTGCTGCACTGACGCGAATAACCCCATCTACTCGACCAACCTCAAACTTTCCCTCGGAACCAGAGTTAATCGAATAAAAAATACGACCATTGATATCCGAGTCGGGGTCAGTAGCCGTTACTATGGAAACGGAATAACCAATAGGAGAAGACTCAGTGATTGTTACAGTTCTAGAACCAGGATTGAATATTGGGGTGTTGTCATTGGTGTCGAGAATGTCTATAGTAACACGAGCAAACGACGCATGAGCAGTACCCCGCCTATCAACAGCGACCACGTGGAATGTATAGTTTGTCGTGCCTTCGTGGTCAAGGGTAGGTGGTGGGGTACTCCTAGTCGTGATTATTCCCGTCAGAGGGTCGATAGTGAACTGTCTAGCCTCTGTACCATTAAGATGATAGCGAATCTCTGCATTGATGTCAGTATCACGATCCGTTGCCTTGATTGGGCTAGCCTGTTGCCATAGAAACAGCAATAAACATTATCATGTTGCTATGGAAACGCGTTTAGGATAACACTTTAAAATCATTTTAAACTTAACAAAAACTATGAAGTACTTGCCATTTGAACGGGTGTCCCTGGACCCGAGTTCTCATCAATTGAAGCCGAGTAGGAGCTACTGGAAAACTGGGGCGAGTTATCGTTGCGATCGAATACTGTTAYTAGCACAAATGCTTCAGCCTACGTGACCAAGGTTTTATTATCAACATTTAGAATCAAGGGTTGCAATGCATTATGGTAGGATAAATCCTATAGCAATTTGATTGGTCTATGATCTACTCACGTGTCTAGAGAGTGGTACTCCTCCGTCACGTGCTGTTATGGTCAAGTTGTAAATATCCTTTACCTCGCGATCTACATTACCTTGAACAACTAACTCTCCATGGGTTGCCTGTGTTAGAAAAATGTTAGGATGAAAGGTATAGAGGGTATGACTAAAACTGAAAAAATTTTCATCTACCAGGGATAGAGAGAAACTCGAAGAGCGGTGCGCACTTTATTCCCCTCCCTTCATCAGTGCTCCGTTTTAAGGGTATTCAAAGCTCGATCTACCAGGGATAGAGGAAACTCGAAGAGCGATGCGCACTTTATTCCCCTCTCTCCATCAGTGTCCTGGTTTATGGGTATTCAAAGCTTGAGGTACCAGGGATAGAGAGAATTYGAGACTGGTTTGTGAGATCATGGATATCAAAGTAGCTATATGCCTGTTTCTTTAATTGGTAGCAGCGAACAAACTAGCTTGACCGCCTATAATCAAATAAATGATTTACAGTTGTGTACCTTAGTTACAACACCAAACACTTTCATAGGATCCCCACTTGTGATGCTATAACTGATATAAGCATTCTGTCCACTGTCAGCATCACTAGCCTTTACGTTCACCAGATGGGTCCCCACGGGGCTGTTTTCGTACACAGATGCTGAATAGTTCTGTTGGTTGAAGACAGGACTGTTGTCGTTGATGTCACCCACAGTGATTTCAACTCGTGTCTGTGAAGGAAAAATATTGCGTAGTATTACTACATACTCAAAAATAGTTCTACTCATGAAGTAACATCAATGGGAAGATAGTTCTTGACTGTTACCGTTGCTGAGAAGGAAGGTTTCCCTTGGTCAGCGGCTCCAATAGTCAGATTGTACAAGAATGTCTGCTCTCGTTCTAGGTTTCTTGCTGTTTTGATCATACCCGTGTCTGGATCAAGCGTAAAATCCCCTTCAAATGATACAAAACAAAAACCATTTATTTAGGATTTTTTCAGAGACAATTATGAACTCTAGCGAAATTGCGCATCAAGAATTAGTGGTCAGCGGACTCACCTCCAGTGTTGCCAGATATCAATTCATACATCAATTTCCTGTTTCCTCCCGCGTCTTTGTCGGTTGCTATGGCAGCAATGACGTCTTGATTAGCCTTGGCTCCTTCAGAGATCATCGTCTTGTATCCTTTTGGCGGGAAAACTGGCGGGTTGTCATTSATATCCAGAATTTGCACAGTAACCTTAGCAACCATAAAACATTATAAAGAATAAAAGTTCATCTTATTTTTTGGTTTTAAAAGTTTAAAATTGAAAAGCACGTATATTGTATCTACTTACGAGCGCGGTGCTTGACTGAGCAGGGTTGCCATGGTCACGGGCCCTGATGGTCAGTCGGTACACCCCTCTTTCTAGATTATCTATTGATATTCCTTCAGCTTCTCTGTCAACATTCTTCGAGGTGTGTATTTCTCCCTGGATTGAAATAATTAAAAGTCAACAAATATGTAGCCTCTWTTTTTTAATTTTACCCAAGATTTCTTGCGCGCGTATACAAATTCGACGGGTGGGTCCACAAAATCAAACTCCGATAATCCATAGTTTTTCATCCAATTAGAGCGCGCGCTCGTGAAAATTTGTTGTATAATTTCAAATCGATAGCAAATCGGGAAAAAGCTTAGTGAGATTCTCTTGCCTCCTTAAATCTTGGTTCAAGACGTGCAATCGAGCGATTCTGAGAAAAGGAGTTCTGGTGTGCCATTTTAAAGGCCTTTATACTCACCTTTCTACTATCAACTGTAAACACATCGTCAATGTTTCCTGAGACAATAGAATACTCTATTAACTGGTTTATTCCTTCGTCGCCATCTGTAGCACTAACATTAGTAACAAACACTCCACTTGTGTTGGGTCCTTCGGTCAGTGTGACTGTATAAGACAAAGGGTTGAATACTGGGGAATTGTCATTCTTGTCAAGGACTCGAACAAAAACATCTGTAAAACCCTGTAAAAGGAGAAATAAGGGGTAAAAACGTGGTCCAGGGAGGAAAGCGTGGCTCAGGACATAGAGCGCTTTTTGTTTATACTACCGAGCAATAGTGTAGAGTACAAAAGAGTAACGCAAGCCTCATTACCAGTGAAGACCATGCACCAGAAACAACAGGTAGTCCAGTACACAAAATGAAGAAAGCGTGTTCAAGGACGGATAGCGCATATTCATAACACTACCGAGGAAAAATTATGAAGTACAAAAGCGTAAGACAAGCTGAAGACAAGTGGACACCAGAATTCGCAGGTAGCCCAGTACTAAAATCATCGTACTCCCACGTGAACAGACTTACTTGGTTTCCTCCCTTGTCAGACGCAGTTACTTTAAGCGTATAAAATGACTTTGTTTCTCGATTCAATGGCAAAGAGCTTGTTCTTATTTCTCCAGTTTTTTCACTGATTACGAATCTACCCACCGTTCCTAAGAATGACACAATGTTTTTGGTTAAAAATAGGACCAAATGTCTTTAAAAGGAGTATTTTATTAGAAGGGAAGGCTTGGGGGGAGAAAGCCGCGCGCGTTTTGGCGCGAAAAAATACCGGCAAAACCACAGGAATTCCATCCCCATCCTAATCCACTACGCATATAGCTTCAGGCACTAACCATCCAATAGGAATACTTCAATACGGCACAACACATAGATGAAAGTTCTTTTATCATTCATCATAACAGATCCCAATCATTCAAAAATTCTTATCGTCTGCAGTATGTACAAGTCAGCGGTTACCTGCAATAGAATACGTTATGACAGCACTAGATCCCAGGTCGTCGTCAGTAGCGGTCACCTGGATGACCAGTAATCCACCTGGAGTGTTCTGTAAGTACATCAAGTTTGCATCGTTAAATTTGACAAAATTCTCATCATAAGATTTAAAGTTTGTAATGAAAATTGTAGTACCAGCTAGAGGGGTTTTCATAAACCCGTGAAATACACACTAGCCTAATACAAATTAGTAGACCCTAATTACATTGTGTTCTTTTGTTGTCATTTCACTATTACACGTACACTAACTAATGTTATCTGTTTCACGGGTTTATAAAAWTCACTCTATCGTTTAGAAGTTTCAATGYCACTTTTTTCGCGCCATTTTCGTGTCCAAAATACAAAAGATTTCATTTATGCGCATGCGCAAATGAAACCTAATATGACTTACCTCAGGTTCTATGAGTGTAATTAAACTCTAATACTTTCTAATACAATCCACTTTGGGAAACTATACCCCGTGCGCATGCAAAGATATACCCATAACGTGACCTACCTCGGCAACTTCTGCAGTATAATTAGCAGATGAATTAAACTCGGGTTTGCGATCATTGACGTCACTAAGACGAAACTCCACTGTTGTGTATCCCATATGTAATCCGTCGGATACAGAAACCTGAAATCGGTGCCAAAAAATTCCAGGTCAAATTCTTTTAATTTCGGTAATAAAATTAATTTTATCAATATGACATAAGCTGCTTACGTTCAAGTTAAAGAGATCTGTGGTTTCCCTGTCCAGCGGTTTCGCCACTTTAATTACACCTGTATATTTCCCGTCATTCTTTTCGGTTGTGATCACAAAATGGCCGCCGATTTGTCCGTCAACAATTGTATAAATCAACTAGTTAAAAGAATACAAGATATAAATTCACGAACTAAGAAAGAAATAAGAAAGAATTAAATTCCCAGAGCAAAGGGATTCTATTGTTCTGGCCTTTAGCCACAGGCAGCCCAATCTGTATTTTGGTCATGGGCACGTGATGGTGTAAAACCTTTATAATGGTAGTGATCGCAGTGATATTTCGTCGTACATACCAGAGTATTATCAGGTGTATCTTCGTCCAGTGCTTCTATTTTCAGTACAGTACTTCCTACCGCGGTGTCTTCTGGAAACTCTTTTTGATATTTTGTGAATTTGAAGATTGGAGGTCGGTCATTGACGTCAATCACACGAATAGTTACCTGAAAAATATTCAAACTTTTGTACTGTTTAAACACTTATATCCAGCTGGGTCTAGCCTGTGTAGTGAGCCCCTTTCCAACCCTTTCAGCTCCTCTCTCATAGAGCACCACTATGCAGGCTAAGCTGGCTCATGTTATAGAGATGTCGCAGTTGATTGAGAAAGCGCACAAAAGATCTAAATGCTTTAGGTCGAAGTTCGGACGTCTTTTATATTCATCGACGCATGTGCAATGCATACATGTTATGGATGTACAATGAATGTAATGAACATCATTCTTACCGTTGCCTGTCCAAATCTTGGAGGAGTCCCACCATCCTTTGCGGTCACTAGTAAAGTATACGTTGATTGGCTCTCTCGATCGAGGCTCTTGCTGACTTTAATCTGTCCCTATACAAATTTTCGAGAAGTCATTAGCTCACTGAATTTAGGATGAAAGGAAAATGGGATGGGAGAAAATGAATGGAAAAAATGAAATATGCTCACCGAGGAGTGGGCAATGACAAAATTACTACCAGGGTCCCCCGCAGAGATATTATAACTAACAACAGACCCTAGGCCCGAGTCCTTCTCGGTTGCTGATACATGGATGACGTCATCTCCTATCTGCGCAGCCTCWGATATGTTCGTATTATAAGCTGGCTTAGTGAACTGTGGATTGTTGTCGTTAGCGTCCACTATGGTAATATTGAGTTGCAATGTAGTGCTGTTAAGTTGTGGTGTGCCTTTATCCATAGCAATGACATAAAACACGTATCTACAGAAAAATAGAAAAGTGCAGTTACGTTTGACGTGCTTAGCAGCTCGTGCCCTTAGTCCCGACTTTAAGACGCGGCCACCATTTTCCCAGACTTTCATATAAAACACGTATCTTTAAGAGATATTGAAACGAAAATTCAACGTCATATGACACTTGATAACCAGAGTAAACATTGAAAAAAGTCGTGCCCTTAGTCTCTACTTCCAGACGCGGCCGCCATTTTATCCGAACATCTAAAATTTCAATTTTGCGCATTTTGTATGAACAAAAACTAAGAAAATGTTCTTATGCGGTTTAGTAACCTACTTTTTAACATCTTCGTAATCCAAACTCCCAACAGTGTTTACAACCCCTGACTGAGCATCAATGACAAATTTACCCTCAGGGGAGTACCCTGAGTAGCTAACTTGACTGTTGATGCCAAGGTCCTGGTCAGTGGCTATTACTGTAAAGACAGGCGTGCCAGATAAGGCTGATTCACTGACGAGGATATTTGAAGGCACGTTAATAAACGAGGGACGATTGTCATTAGCGTCTGTGATAGTGATGTCTACTTCTATTGTAGATGACTTGGGTTCCGCTGTAAAGAGATGAAAGAATTAGATGATCTTTTTCGTGGTATATCCACTATTAGACCATGTGAGTAGAGTTTGTTTGATTTTCCAGTTTTTCAGACGCTGCTCTTAGGGTTCAAAAATAATGGGCTTTGGCTTGGTTTAAAAACAATGGGCTTTGGTATTTTAATGTTTGATACCAGTCATCCGTACTTGTCTGTCTGTCTGTCTTTCTAGCTGTCGAGTTGTCTGCCTGTCTGTTTTCTTTACCTGCTCGATCGGTTGCCGTCACCTGAAGCTCATACGCGCCCCTAGTCTCCCTGTCCAGTGGTTTAGCAACAGTGATATTCCCGGATGTGTTGAGAATTGCAAACAAGCCACCAGGGTTGCCTCCTTGAATAACAACAACAGCCAAGTAATTACATCTACCTTATCTTATGTAATAGTGTAATAGCCTCTATTATCTTTTAAAATATAAGTTTGGATCTGGGGTATAATAAGAGTACTTTTTAGCTGTCGTAAACTCAATTACTAGGGAGGGGGAGGGTGCAGATATAATAAATTCCAAAGCTGGTTCGAGGCCGTCTTGACAAACAGCACCATATAGTCACACATCGGATAGCCCAATCTCGTAACCAGAGCCCTTATTTCTTACTGCGCATGCTCGACGAAATAATTGGGCTCTGGAAAACTCCAAACCGGAAGACCCAGATTCTGGGTTTCTCGCACATGCGCATTATGACAGACTAGGTAAATTCAAAATGGCGGACGATGTTCAACGAGCATGTGAATTTGCGCTTGGAAAATTAGGTTTTGAAGATGGCTTTCAGTTAAACTAACTCCGAAAATATCTATTGGATAGACATCAATACAATTTCCATTATAAAACCGGCAAAACTTTGAAAAATACGGCCCTACAGGCTTTTTTGGTGTACTTAATTCGAGACGCCATCTTGTTTATTTTCCCTAGTACTGTAATGTTTACTTCCGGTATCTTCCTTTGTTCTCGAGAACCAATCACAGTACAGGAAATATTGGAGTTTTCCAGAGCCCAATTATTTCGTCGAGCATGCGCAGTAAGAAATAAGGGCTCTGGGTACGAGATTGCGGATAGCCCGAAGGGAACGTTCTGGCCCCCTAATACTCCCCTAATTCTGCTAACGTTCACAGGTTATCAGTGCGTAGAGCTAAGAATAATATATTTTGCCATGACTCAAGAATCTTAAAGAATTCTTACCAGTTATGGAGTATAGAATCATTCCGGCCAAACCATCGTCGTTATCTGTTGCCCTCACTTCTACCACCACTGCACCAATGTCACTGTCCTCACGGACCACACCCATGTACGTAAACTTGTGAAATCTAGGTTTGTTGTCGTTGATGTCTGAGACTGTAATGTTAACGCGGGCTGTGGCGACGTTTGGTTTTGGGTACCCATGGTCACGTGCTGTAACAGTGAGAGAGAATCCACCTGGCCTTGCCTCTCGATCGACCAATGAAATCACGCTAATTACACCTGTGGGTATAAGACGTCAGACGTAAGTGTGTAAACGCCAATTGGTGAAAAAAGACCATTTTGTTGCCATTTATCAAGTTCCCTCTCTATCTTTATCTCTATTTTTTTCGTTTCCATTCTCTTTTATCCTGGTTTTTATTCAAAAGTAGTCTTACCTGATGTCTCATTGATGACAAAAATTCCGTCACTACCTTTGATAGAATAGGCAATGTCCCCGTTACTACCCTGGTCAGGATCAGTAGCAGAGACTTGTAGTATATGAGAACCAAGTGTCATGTTTTCCACGATAAGAGCTTGGTAGAGTGACTTGGTGAACTGAGGGACGTTGTCGTTCTCGTCGAGTACAGTTACACGAACCTTTATCGAAGACGACTGAYGAATGAAAATCGATTAGTTAAAAGCAATAGATATTGCTCAAGGGATAGAGAATAGGTCCTCTTTCATTTGCTTCTCTCAAACGTTAAACAGAGTAATTATACTAAAGGAAATGACACGTGACACAATACTCTCTCGTCGTGACTCTGCTGACCAAGTCTTAATTAGAGACTTTAACCATAGAGGGTCACAAGTTTATCAATTGTGACTGTCACTTGTCACGCATTCATCAAAGTTACACCACAGGGTTCATAATAAACCAAATGGCAACAAACAAACGTCTTACTTACCTTTGGTGGGCTTCCTTTATCATTTGCAGTAATAGTCAGGTCGTAGTTAGACTTGATTTCTCTATCCAGCTCTCGTGTTGTAAGTAGTTCACCATTAGTGTCGTTTACAACAAAATTGTCGCTGTTCACAGTGAAGGCGATCTGTCCGTTCAATAAGTGGTCTGGGTCCAACACAGAAAGCTAAAAGGGAAACAGACTAGCGTCGGGATCGGAAGCAGCGTACGTATGCTCGGTAGTGTGCTGTTCATTAACAGTGCTTTTCTTTTTTCACACCTTGGTTATAAAAGCTAAAGTGAGTGCTGCGCTTATTACTTAAGATTTCGACGCTAATAAGTAAGTATTCCTATTTAGACCACGTGTCATAATTTCTTTGTTCAGTGCTTGCACAAGACATGACAAGACACATGAATATGGATACAACTAAAACAAATAATATTATTCTCAAAAGAATGACTGATACGTGGTCTTCACAAATATTACTTCCAAGTTAGAGGTCTATAGACTCCTTGCACTTAGTCCCGAGAATGAATGCTTTTTGCATAAGAAAAGACGGCCTATTGTTTAGTCCCCCAGAACAATTCCTCTACGAAATCAACCGGCAAGGGATCTATCCCGATTGTACCTTGAGAACAACTTGCCCCGGAGGTTTATTCTCCAACACGTTTGCGCTGTACGTCGATGGAGTAATGACTGGTGTGTTGTCGTTGATATCCCCAATATTAATGGTAACCTGTACAGTTGCCTGTAATGATGGACTTCCGCCTAGAAAGAATATAATATCAATTCTCTAAACCTAAAGACCATCTGATATCAAAAGCTCTATCATTTCTGGACAGCACTGCTAGTCCAACAAGGTGGAGAGTTTTGACATCTCAAGGATCTAAAGTTGCAATACACAGTATGTTACGAAACATTTTCAGTCAGATGCAATRGATTGCTTTATACAAAAAAATAGGATCCCTTTCATCCGTATTGTTTTAGTCTTTCYGAGGTTGAGGAAAAACTGGGTCGAGTTGGCATTGCAGTGCATTGTGGGACTCTTAGGGGAAGTATTTCCAAGAGGCGATTCCTCATTTTTTATACTGATGAAGCATATAAATTGCGTGCATTCGTGATCTCCTTAAAATATGAACATTCTAGAACCGTAGTCAAAAAATTATATTTGATTTTATTTCAAATATTTTATAATCAAACGATATAGTTAATTGATATATTTAAGCTATTCATCACTTACCATCCCTAGCCTGGACGCCAAGTAAATACTGCTGTATTTTTTCTCGATCGATGTCTTTTGCAGGGCTGATGACCCCAGTATTACTATTGATTGTGAATCCTAAATCTRTGTTTCCGCTTACGATACTGTAAGAGATATTACTGTTGGTACCACTGTCTCTGTCTGATGCGTGAACCTTAATAGGAAAGATATCAAAATATTTATGCTCACAAAAGAGGCATATTTATGAGATTTGGGCATGTAATATGAGCTGAGCTTCTTCGCGAAGGCAGGAATTTKAAACTATAAGGACAAAAGTGTTTAGACAAGCTGCCAATTGAAAAATGGCGCGAAAGATATACAAAGGGGGTTACCCGTAATGAACTTTACCCTTGATGAAATGCATCATTGACTATAGTTTATCTTTTTGCAGTCTACCCAAGTCTACCCAAGAATGAAAATAATCGAGCGTCCTGGGGCCGACTAATTACCTGAATAACGGTGTGGCCTGGTGCCGAGTGTTCTACCATAGTTGTGACGTAACTCTCTTGACTAAACACTGGAGCATTGTCATTAGTATCCAGGACCTCTACAAGTACCACGRACGTATTTCGCCGCGGTTTGACTGGGTCCATGTCTGTGGCTGCCACATCTAAGGTATAATTTGGCTTTGTTTCTCTATCTAGTAAGCCAACTGCTTTTATTTCACCCGTTGTTGGGCTGATGTCAAAAGAACCTGCAAATAGATAATAGAGCGTTTTTACGTTACGTCACAGCGGCCATATTGGACATATTTTCTATCCTTGGGAATTTGAACTCTATTTTTATGCAAAAACTGTGCAGAAAGTTTCTGTTGTTTGGTACACCAATATGGCTGCCTTGTCACGTGAGTGAGAACGCTCTCTATATATAAAGCTGCAAGAGGTTTTGACGTCATTTAGTGTTACTGGGCTACCTGTGTATTCTTATATGTACGCATGCTCGTTTGTCACCCAATCGTTCCTGACACAGGTAGCCCAAATCATTTAGCTCTTACGAATCCCATGATCCATTTCATGAGTGCTCGTAAAACAAGAATGCTACTTACCAATATATTGAGGTAACGTAGGCATTGGTTTGCCGGTCACGTGACCTATCAAGCAATATAACATAAATCATTTTGAAATTAAAAAAGTCGACACGTTTATTTTAAAGCAGAATCGATGCGACTTTTGAACTGTTTTTTATACGATTTACACGATACATAGAAGATATTACATGGACGCGCGGAGATACGAATTTTATCTTCGAGTGTTCAATTGATATCTCACGAGTGAGCGCAGCGAACGAGTGAGATATCTAAATTGAGCACGAGAAGATAAAATTCGTATCTCCAAGCAACCATGTAATGTTCTGTTTATTATATAGATATCGATGAACTTAAATTAAACAAAAGCTCAAAAATTCTTTATCAAAATAGCAAGCCGATTGAACAGCGATATCTTCACGTGTGAAAGATATGGTRTCTTCYACTGGTGAAAGATATTAGGTTTTCGACACTAGAGAAAACCTGGCATTTCATCGATATCTATATAATAAAATTAAATACAATTTCATGAAAAAAAATCAATCTTCAGTTTGCATTGCCTACAATCGCAAGTACATTAACATTATCTTAACAAAATCGCTTTTATCAAGTTGTTTCCTTAATTCTCAAATTATTCTGTCGCAATTTTTCAGGCATGCGCAGTTTGTATCTAACTCACGTGATATGCGATACGAATGAAGCACCTCTTCAGCCATAAGCTCCTTTTTCCAAATCATCAGATCGCTGATGCTCAGGTTACCATAGTAATCGAGTTTATCGATGTTGTTTGGTTTTCCAATACTTAAAACTGTAAATGCATCCGAAGCACGTGACACACTCGTGCTGACCGAGGAGGACTGGACTAAGAGTCCATTTTCGTAGTATCTGAGTCCTGATTGGCTATTCCATGTGAATGTTGCATAAAACCACGTCTGGTGATAACAATATTAATTTATACTAGTATATTTGTTCCTGCGTGACAAATTCGCATCTAGCTAGGTTTTTTCCCGGTTTTTATTCAAACGGGCTTCTTTAGCATTTCTTGCCTTTATTTGGGCGCCACAGAAGCAAAAAATTAAATTAAAGGAGGGGTAATAAGTTTGTAATTATTCTCTATAGTGTTAGCGAACCCMCTGTATCTGCGCACACTTGTCTGGTCAATGTCTACGTAAACACGTGCGCAATTTCCTTGGGTCTTCGTGCGCAAACATTGTACTTTCGTGCGCTTTTTGGGGCACAATGATTATTATCCGTTTACGGAGCGTTTACTTTTGCGCAACAATAGTCCACCAACTGACTATTCRAGAAATAGAAAACGCGCGCGCGTGCTGTGTGCTTTCATAAAGCACGCGCTTCCAACCAATCAGAACGCAAGATTAATAACAGTTATTTTATATAAAATAATAAAGAAACACAAGATGATATTCACCAAGGGAATCGAATGCAATGTTATCTCCCATTTCTGACTGAAAGTCGCCAAGAGAAGTGAATATTTTCCAGTTTCCTTGGTGTAATAAAAAGCRAATCCTGAACCAAACTGAGATTGTCCACCGGAGGAGATAATGTAGCGGCCTCCACGGAACAGCAACCAAAACGCTACGGTTAGGCCATCAGCACAACGTGAAGGATCACTAATACATTGATCTGTAGAGTAAATTATATTTTTAAAAGCATATGAATTACAAGCATTACTCCCTGTGAGGGAATCTTCCTTGAGGTTTGCTCCACGCGCACTTCCACTACATTTTATATTTAGAACATACAACACTTAACTCACATGTTGATTGTTAAGTAAGGGGGAGGATTGTAGAACCGTTAGAGAAACCTTTGTGGCTAGGGAGAGAACACACACTTTAAACAAACTCAACCTGCATTGATTTTCACGGAGGGAGGAAAACTGAAAAACCCAGAGAAATATCAGAGAAAACAACACACCAAACAAACATAAAATTTAAAAAAGGCATTTTTCAAAATTTACCAAAATTAAGAAAGAATTTTCTATTTTCTTTCGTCCATCCATTTATCTTTTTTTTTTTTTTATTCATTCATTTCATTTATCCTTTTTATCTCATCCCATTCATCCTTCCATCTGCTCTTCACATCACTAGACCCCCTGGATAATCACCTAGTCTTCTTCCAAGGATCGTCGTCCTCAAGATCACTTATTATATGACCTTCCAGCTTCCTATCTTATGATCAATGCTTTGGTATAAGCTTCAAAGCTCTCCTAATCCACTTAATGCTCTTCATTACCAATTATCCAATCAAATCATCAGCAGGGAGGCCTTGCTTGGTGTCTTTTCATAACATAAGCTAAAAMCACCTGTGCCAAAACCATTAGAAACTAGTCCTCTTAGGCGTAATGTTTTCCCTATTTCAGACCACGTTTGAGTTGTATCTATATTCATGTCTTCTCATGCGCAACCGCTAAACAAAAATACAATACTCTAGGTAATGATACGTGGTCTGAAATGGGAAAATATTACACTCGAGGTAAAAAGGTCTCATTCAAGAACAGCTTAAGAAATTTCGATTTTTTAAAATTTTAATATAAGCACGCGCGCGCATGCGCAGTAATAATAATTGAGAAACGTTTAGTGATGGTAATTGACAAATATTTATTATGTATGACGGTTAAATTTTAAAAACAAAAAGAATTAAAATTTTTCCTCTTTGTTCTCTTCTTCTTTTTTATCTCGTTCATTTGTTTTTATCTTCCTCTTTCTTCTCTTCTTCTTCTTCTTCCTCTTCCTCTTCTTCTTCTTCTTCTCCTCC